AATTTGCTTGTGCTACTAGGTCAGTTTCCGGGTTCCCTCCTTAAGTGAATGTGACCTGACCCACCCAGGTTTGGGTTTCATTGGGGTTAAGCCGGTAGGAGACTTGGACCTGCCCCGCATGGGGCCCGTAGGCCTGCTGCTTTTTCCTTTTTTCTTAAAGTTTTTATATTTTTACTGCCCAAATTTTTTTTAAGGGAGGGAAAACCCAATTTCGATTTCAGAACTAGGGGAAAGGGAGAACAACCCTGCAATACCTAGAGTCAGTGGTCAGGTTTCAAGGACATTTTTCTGTGCTGCAATAAAATAGTGGAATAGACTGCTTGCACATGTCCTAGCCTGTCATAGCATGAGCCAATTCAAGAAGGGAGCCAAAATGTACCTCATGAATAAGGCTATAGAAAGGGAGGAGAGTGATTTCTTGTATGAAAATAATTAATTTTACCTCTCCCCTAGTATATCTTTTACTGCAACTGCTTTTACATAGTTAAGATACTTACTTGTTCTAAACTTTTAAAAATAAATAATAATTATCACAAGGACCCCAATGGAAATAAGTCACTGTTTGATTTTTTGGTGTTATCCGGGTTATTTTAGGTTCCTACACATATGCTGCTATGTATGATATTCTATGCAATTGTGTATACCTAAATAAACTTACCTACCTACCTACCTTGCCCGAAATGCCTAGCCATGCCTAGCCATGTTCTAGTGGTACACTCTGTAATTATTATTTTACTACATGTAAACCACACAATAACCAAATTCTGTAAACTCAGCATTGTAATGCTTATAGAGAATAAACTTTGAATTAACGTCGTCATGGTCCAACTTCGGGCAACACATCTCCGCACATCGAGAAGCGGGGTTCGATACGGCATAAACTGTCAATGACCTTTACAAACCCAACAAGACGAAGTCATGACTTCCAGTGGTACTGAAAAAGCCTTGTCGCTTCTAAGGAGGTTGCCGCGCGTTTCCATAGGAAATTTGGGGCCAAATCCTGGTGCTCATAATGAGGTATGGGCTTGGCTCTTTCCGTGATTATAATAACCATACGCAACTTTTACTGATGAAGTTAATACATCAGGGGTGTCTGTGGCTTGGTTGATAGGCACTCGGCTTACATAGTGTTTAATTATTATTATAATAATCAAAGGGGAAGCACTAAACCCGTAGGATTATACAGCGCCTGGGGGTGGGGGGGGGGTGGAAAGCATTCAGGCTTAATTTGGGGAACTGGATCAAATTCCCTAAATCAAGAGCCTCTCACCAACATCAAGGAACCTTCCCTGAGGGGACATAGTGTTTAAGATAAGGTTTGTTTCAACTTTTATCCAGGAGGGTTTGCCACCCAAGAAAACCCAAAGTCAGTATGTTATCGGGGACTGTCTGTTTTATTTCAATGGAACCTTTAATTTTGTCCCCAGGATGTGACCCACACCAATTGACTAACACCCAGGTACCTACTTGCTTGCTAGGTGAACAGGGACAGCAGATGTAAGGAAATTTGCCCAGTGCTTTCAGCTGTGCTGGGTTGGACCATGGACATTCACTGTCATCCTTGGGAGCCTTTTTTTTTTTTTTTTTTTTTTTTTTGTCTTGCCTTGCACAGCTGAAAGATAAATTTGAGATCTTGAGTATGCAACCATAATAAGAAATATACAGACAAGAGGGTAGTGTCACAAATACACTTAAGAAAATACTATTATAACCTTAATATTTAAAGGTTAGATAAAATTTTGTTTGGATTTTTAACCCAAGAGGGTTAGCCACTCAGGATAATCCAAGAGAGTCAGTGCATCATCGAAGGCTGTCTGTCCCATTTCCATTGGGGTCCTTCAATCTTGTCCCCCAGGATGCCACCCACACCAGTTGACTAACACCCAGGTACCTACTTGCTTGCTAGGTGAACAGGGACAGCAGATGTAAGGAAACATGCCCAATGTTTCCACCCTTCCTGAGGATTGAACCATGGGACATCCTACTCTAGAGGCAGATTATCATATGACTAAGACCTGCATCAGGAAGCACTTGTCTTGTTTCCTGATGAATCTCACCTAACCAATCTGTCGTGCTCTGTCCGATCACACAGTTGCTCTACACTTGAGAAGCCTCTCTTCTACCCCGGAGGGAAATTTATATTCTACAAACATCACAACCTTCTCACAATGCTGTCGCATCGTGTGAAAATCAAGCCTGTGAATGGTGCAATAAATGATCCGAGTTAGCTTTAGCTACACGTTAAAAACCCCCGC